CTCATTCCTTCTGAAACCAGCATTTGATCCTTATGCTAAAGCTTTCCAATCTCTAAAATGTTAACAATTAGTTTTCCAACCTCACTCTATGCAAAGAAACCTCATTCTTCAGAGAAGTGAGTCACTATTGCTGAAGACAGTTATAACAACAGAAGGCTTGCAGTCTCCAAGTACAACCAGATAATTAGGCAAGAGCCCCCAAATCAATAACAATTTCACTCTTCAGAGAGAATTAGTAATCAAATATGACCAGGACATCTAGTAGTGGATGTTCACGTTTTAAGATACTCACATCAAACTCAGAGTCAATGAGGACAATTCTTTTCTCAGTGGCTCAATACGGATTGTCTTAAACTGCAACCCTTTCAGACAACAACAGTGTTCCAATCACACTTCTATGCAGCATTAAAGCCATTAAAATATATATATATGAAAGCTAAGACTGCCACAGCTCTGCTAAGCAAACTTTCCATAATATGAAATCCCATCAAATGTTGCCAAATTTTTACTTAATGTCCAAACTAAGATAGAGCTCTGATAAAATAAATGTAAGATGTTTATTACTTGTTACTATGTCATGAAAATAAATCTCGTTTACAAATCTGGTTACGAGGTTAGTCTAATAATACCAATTTCAAAGCAGATTTGCTTACCAGATCAAAGGACTGATTTGAGAGACAGCAATTCCATGTTTTAATCCATACACAGTTTCCTAGTCTGTTCCTCTTTTTTTAAGAGACATTTTTTTAAAAGGCCTTCCGCCTCATTCATCTTTGTATTGCTCACAGCAACCAGTACACTGCCTTGCACTTCTTGGGAATGCAATAAAATATCTGCTGAATGTAGTTCCTGACAACCAATGGTGTAAAGGCTTTCCAAAGCAAGTAGAGGAAAAACAAAAGAACATGCAAACATAGTACTAATATTTTTTATCTTATGATTCACAACACAAATCTGAATGTTTCCAGGAACTTAGTTTCTTCTTAAAAATGTGCACTTCTACAATATCTGAAATTTGTGTAGTATTTACAGAAGATGCAAATAAAGTTAACATTATTTTTACACTTAGTTCCTTATTCGGCAGAAATTTAGTAATAGTAACATCACCTCACTTTGTATATCATATCATATGTAAATTCTCCCAAATAAAATTTTTTTTAAAAAAGTCGCTGTCTGCCTTAAACTTGGATACTATGGGTTTCTGAGCCCAAATGCAAATACTCTCACCATTAAAACATTAAAATAACTAAATAGCTAACAAAACCAAACAGGAACAAATTAAGAGTATATTAGAGAAAAAAAAAATGCTGACTAGAAATAGGAACAAAGAGGTTCTTGTCCCTGTGCAGTCATTAATTTACTATATGACCTTACCTAATTAGTTAGCCCCTCTGGGTCTCAACTTCCTCGTTTTAATATTTTTTAAGGCCCTTTCAAACTACATGCTAAGAGTCAGCATGTGTAATACTGTCCTGAAAACTGAGTTACATTCATACTGCCCTCCTCACAAAAAAGTCACAGTTAACATGATAATTTTAAATATCCGAGTATGGATTTCTATCAAAGGCAATTTATTAAAACGTCAGATGAGCTAAAAGTCCATTTCAAGAGGAGAATTAAGGTAACTATATTAGAGCAAGTAGTGCTTACAGATTCAAAGTTCACCTAGACAGCTGCCGCTGTTACTGAGAACAGCCTTTCTTTAACAGTGTAGTTGAAAAGTACACCTCTTTACAAATGGAGAAAACTAGGAAGGGTGAGTTTGTTTCACATTTTTCAATTACAGTTGATATACAATGTTATATTAGTTTCAGGTGTACAACATAGTAATTAGACATTTATATACCTTACGAAGTGATCGCCCCAATAAGTCTAATACTCATCTCATCTAGTGAAGGTGATTTTTATGGTCTCAAAAATGCAGGTGCATAGCTTTCTTTTCCTTTTCTATATCTTGTTAAGATAGAGGAATGCAGAAGAGCTAGCTTCACTTGAGAGGGAGGGAAAAAAGTACAAAAGTTAGAGTAAAGACCCACACAAGCACCTCCACACAAGCACCTCTCAATTGATGTACTGTAATCGACAGCCCATCCTTCTAATTAGTGCTCAAGAGTCAAAAGCAGTGAAAAGATTTCCAGTGGCTGTGATGCCCAAACACATGAGGAACACCATGTGACAATAGCTAACCTAAAGTCTTAAGACTTGTACTCAAGATGGGATTCAGAACAAAATAGAAATCTGTGACTGAGACCAATTGGACTAAATTACGATTTCTATCTATAGCTTTAAAAAGAACATATTTTGAAAGTACTTTTTGATACCAAAAGGCACTAACTTGTATGGTACTTTATCATATACCATAAGCTACTCCTCAAAGAATTTCATAAAGTATTTTTAAACTCATTTTGCAGATGAAGAAACAAAGTATGAAAAATTGGGGGACTTCACAATAGCAAATGGTTAGCAATTGTCAGAGCCTTGTTTTAAACTCAGCTGACTTCGGGTCCTCTAATCTTGACACTTCAAAATGGTACCGCTCACACTAGTTTTCAGTCCCTACTATTTCGTCTGATTCAGTAAATTTTATTTTTCACTAAATTGCTACCCCATCTCCCCAAATCTGGTCCTCTTCTGGGTTCTTAAAGCACTCTATGCATAAAATTCTCCCAAATTTACACACTTACTAAGCTTTCTAATTGCTCATTTTCTTTCCTCCTTCGCTAATCTCATTTCTTCAACAGCAGAAATTGTCTTATCTTTATAGATGGAAGCCACCACACTGATTATCTTGGCTCCCTGTGACCTCCCCCCTCAAGCTTCAACCACTAGATCCAATTCCCCTTTCCCTAACAAAGCAGGAAGCGAGCTGGCATTCAGATTGCTTGCAGAGGGCCTGACATACAATAGGTGATTAGTAATTGTTAGTTAAATCTGCGATGGGTGGCAGGGTGAATGATGCAATACCCATATTTTACAGCACTTTACAATGTACACATTTACATATATCATCCCATGTAAGTCTTAAACTGTGAATTTGATAGTGATCATTTAATTTTTCTCTTTCTGAAGTGTAGTTCATCACATCATTATCCTCACTTTCAGAAACTTGCCCAGAGATGCATAGGTAGTAAGTAGCAGCCTTTCAACTTCAGGAAATGGCCCACAACTACTTTACTCCCTTGCTTTGTCTTCTTTTCATTTTCAAGGTAGCTGTTTGAGAACAGGCTTGATTAGGTCTATTAGAACATGAATGAGGTGTTGTCTCATTATGGTTTCCTGTAGAGAAATCTGAGACTTCTGAAAATCTGCGGGTTACAGACTAGATCAAGAAAGACGTTACTCAAATAATTAGCTGTGACAAAGGAAGTCATGTAAGAATTTATAGATTTGGCTTCCCTGTTCACACACAGCGACAGTCCTCAGCTTGCTTTCTCAGTCACAGGCTGTTAAAGCAAGACAGGCAATGACTCAGAATTCACCTCAATTTTCTGAGCCTGTAAACACACATTCAGGTAAAACAGAATAAGGTGGATTGAATTGAAAGAAGACTTTCAGTTCCACCCCTACACACTCTGACCCTGTAGTGCAGGTACACAGAAAGCTGAGGGGAGTGATTTTAATGCAAAGGATAAAGCACCAAAAGGTGCTACCCAATGTTTACAAAACAGAGGAAGTGCCTACAGCACTTTCTTCTTCTTTGCCCAGAAATACAAACTCAAAAGAGCCCTGTGAACAGCCAGTCAAAGGCATACAACCAAAGTGTAATGCCCAGACCAATTCTGAAAACACCAAGCTTCCTTCAAGGATCAAACCAACAGTAATAGCTCCATTCCAGCCAACCAAAGAACCATAACGCTGAATATTTTAAATGCATTTGTTTTTAACACAAAGCCATTTCCAGCAGGTATGCCAGGCTGCCCTGAGATTCAGGCCTCCCGCCGCAGCTCAGGTGAAACCTCCCTTCACTCCCACTTCCTCTAAATTCTAATCACTTCGTAGTGGGAAAGAACTCAGGAAGACATCTGAGCACGCTCAACACGTGCAATTATGCAACAACACATCTCATTGTCACACTGAAACAAGGAGAGGGGACACAGGCCAGTGAGTGGCTCCTGTGCGGAATGAAAAGTTCTTAAAATTATTAAGCACTCTAGTCTTAACCCCTACTGCTGATGAAAGGAGACATATATCAAAGTCTGTTGTCCTAACCTTAGGTGGAAAATATAAGTAAGCGGTTTCCGGTTCACAGTGAGGTCTGGTGACACATATTAATCCGCAGCAGAGAACATCCAGGGATGTCAAGACCTTGGTTTTACTGCAAAGGATCTAGCAACTAGCACTGACTACAGTATTTTGGGGTCCTCACGGTTTCCTTTCCTTTGCCAAGATCTCCTGACTCTGCACTGGCAAGCTGGGAGTGTGGTCCAGGGCTAAGCTGCACACGATTTTAAAGCCTTGCCTTACTTGAACAGAAAGTGGGATGGGGGCGGGGAGGGGGGCCAACAACTCCAGGGAATAGTAAAGAGACAAAGATCACCCCAAAGGCATACGCGCGCGCGCGCGCGCACTAACGCCGAAACTCTGCAACACACATTCCATCAACCTTTCACTGTAGTCAGCTTCCTGTGGGGTTTATTCCCCCACTCCAGCCTACTCCAGAAAGTTTGAAGCTGTTCACACCGACTTTCAAAGGTCCATTGTTTCCCTCCCCGTAAACGTAACGAAAAGAAAGAGGGAGAGAAATCACAGACCAAAGGTTCCCAAAGACCCTTTCTTACGGTGAGGATTTACTCCGGGGTAGTCTGGTTACTCCTAATCCAGAGGGGAAAGGCGGCGTGCGGGGGGAGAGGGGATGTTTTTCCATTTCAGCAGAAATGCGTAAATGCCAGGCCGCCGGGAGCTGGGAAGGTGCGGGGGGATCGCGGTCAGCGTCCTCGCCGTGGCCTCCAGCGGGCAGCAAGAGAAGCTCGGCGGGGAGCGGGTGACCGGGTGCTTCTTACCTGTCCCTCCCCGGCTTAGCGTCGGCTAATTCAGGTACCTACTCAGCGGTCCAAAGAGACAGAGCCGAGCTGTTGGCGTCCCCGAGTCCGGATCTCCTCTCCATGGCCAGGGAGCCGCTCGAGCCCCGGCGCCCCCCGCTGCCGCTGCTGCTGCTTTTACGCAACTGGCAACCGCAGTCGCAGCCTCAGCCTGGAGGTGAAACTCTCCAGCGAGTGACGCGCACTTCCCTCCGCCTCCGCCTCCGCCTCCAGCCCCGAGCCTCGGGGACAAGGGCCTCGGCTCGCTCCCTCCAGGAGCAGCCGCTTGACTTTCTCCGCTCCTTCCCCTCGGGGAGGAAGAGGAGGAGAATTGCGGCCCGGGCGGCTCGGCCGGAGCGTCCCCGCGACAATGGGGAGGAGGCGGCGGCACTGGGCAGAGCAGGGTCCCGGGAGTCCCGCTTGTCGCTGGTCGGCGGGCGCCGCGGCTCTCTAGGGTCGCGCTCAGCCTCCGCCGGCCAGACAAGCGACCCGGCTCTGCTGGGCCGAGGGCTGCGGATTGGGCCGGCGGGCGGGCAAGACGCGGGAGGCGGAGGGAGAGGAGGAGTCTACGGCGGGAGGAGGCGGCGACCGCGCAGAGCTCCTCTCGCCACACCCGCTCAGCGAGAGCGGCGGACGCCTGAATTCAGTGCCTCTCTCTGGCTGCGGCGCCAAGGAACCGCGCCGGGTCGCACGGCCGCGGGGGCGGGCCCCCAATCAGCACCCAGGGCTGTAGTTGCAAGCTCCTATCCGTGCCACGCCGCCCCGCGCTGGGTGCACTTGGCCTGGCTGAACCTGACTCTGCGTCCCCATCATCCCCTGGCTAAGCCTGACTCGGCGCCCCGGTGAACTGCCGACTGAGCCTGACACGACCCCCTCACTACCTCCGGCTGAGCTGGGTTCTGCATCCCCATCGCCCCCAGCAGACCCTGACACTGAGCCTCCATCGCCCCACGGCTGAGCTGGACACTGAGCCTTCACTGAGCCTGACTCTACGCCCTATCATCCCCAAAGTGACTTCCACTGCTCCCGCAAATTTTCTGTTCCTCCGGCCACGCACCACGGCCGCCCCCACCTGGCCAAGCACGGGCAGTGGGTTCTCAGCTCTTTCCGAAGAACCAGTCCTCTCTTGGATCAGGACAGATCCTCTGGCAGCTCGGAGCGGCCCCAGCACCCTGCTCTCATGCCAGAATAAATATACTTACGTCTCCCCACGCCCCTGCTCGCGCCACTCTGGAGTGGCTGCCGCTTGCAGGAGTGGCCGTGAAAGCCACTCCCCGGCCTACCCCAGTATCTAAGTAAGTACCTCTGAACCTACGTCCGCCCCCGGGCTGATATAGCATCCTTCGCTGGGGCTGCTCTCACTGAGGAAAAGCCTTGGCTCCCGCTGAGGGCACGGCCCAGGCTTGGTCGGTCAGACCTACGAGGTCCCGAGCTGGTGACAGCAGGACTGCCAAATCCGGGCCGTCGTCATCTATTATTCGGAACTGGAAGTGCTTCTGCTAGGAAACTCTTTCAGTGAATACTGTACAGATCGGACTATTCAGTTTTCGGAAATGCTTCCCCCCCCCCCGCCCCTTTTAATAAAAACTCAGTCATGTAACCATGACGCACACCCAGCAGGCAGGAAAGGGAATTCTCTATCTGAAGAATTTTGGTTCAAGACTATATAGGAAATGATATTTCCAACTCTTGGCTGATTGTAAGATTCTCCTGGGGCATTTTGAAATTTTTGGTTTCCCGGACCTCACAAACCTACTGAATCAGAGGGGCCTAGATATTTAAGTTTGAGAAACAGTGCTAGAGAGCACCCTTGAATCAATTAAAGCCTCGGAAAGGTGCATCCAAAATAACAACACCGTTTAGTGTTGAGACATAAACATCCGACTTGGAGAGCCACTGTCCCTTCTGGAAGAGGGAGGAAAGTTCTTAAAACAAGGCCGATGACAAATGGGATGGGACAAAGGAAGAGTTTAGTGGTTTGAAGGTGAAGTGTTCAGGGCCATGCCTTATAAAGACAGGATAGGAACCGTGTTGCCCTGTATGATACGCTGAAAAATAGCTGCCCAAAGATATCAGATGCTAATCAGTGAAACATGAAAATATTCCCTTATATGGAAACAGGGTCTTTGCAGATGTAATTAAATTAAGGATTTTGAGTTGGGGAGATTATCCTGGGTTGTCAGGGTGGGCCCTAGCTGCAATCACATGTATCTTTATAAAAGGAAGGCAGAGAGGAGATTTGACAGAGATAAGGAGGAGGTAATATAACCATGGAGGCAGAGATTGGAGTGATACTGGCCACAAGTCAAGGAATGCCAGCAAGCCACCAGAAGCTGGAAGAAAGGCAAGGAAGCATTCTCCCCTAGAGCCTCCAGAGAGAGGAAGGCCCCGATGACAACTTGATTTCAGCTTAGTGAAACTGATTTTGGACTTCTGGCATGAGAGAATAAATGTGTGTTGTTTTAAGCTTTTGGTAATGTGTTACAAGTTTTTGGTACTGTGTTACAACAGCCACAGAAAACAAATACACCCTATTGCCTGTGCAGTGCCAAATTCACATTAAAAATATCTATTTTATGATTCTTTATTAAAGTGTCAGTCACTTTGCTTAGAGTTGGAATATGTTATCTAATCATCGCAATAATTATTATTCCAAGAGGTATAGACACTGGGACTCAAAAAGTTTCAGGAGCCTGCCTAAGGTCACACAATGAGAGCCTACTAGAATCAAATCTGTCAGCCCCTCGAACATTAAAAATAACAATTAAAAATTTATATACATTATTTTAATGAGAGTTTTGGTGTTAAAGAGCTCTCACTTCTATAACCTATATCTATTGCTAAACCAATGGAAATGGATGTTGATGGGGGGAGGCTGTGCAGGGAGGATGGGGATCAGGGAGTTCAAGGGAAATTTCTGCACCTTCTGTTCAATTTTGTTGTGAACCTAAAACTGCTCTAATTAAAGTCTACTAAACAAAAGAGGGAGGGGGGTGTGAATCTTTGTGTAGCCTACTTTTAGGAATTTTATAAATTCTTGTTCTTCAATATAGTTATCAGGATCATGAAAAATAAAGAAAACTGATGTGGAAGGAAGTTACAAAGGACACAGAACAAAGTGAGAAGACTTTTCTGGTCAGTGGAACTGATGTCATCACCAGTCGCGTTCCCAGGGAAGCAGACTCTGAGACCAAGTGGCAGGATGTTCATTAAGGAATACCCAAAGGTGGAGACCTGTGATGGGAGGGACAAGAAGCAGGATGGGGCAGAGGGAGAAGTTGAACTGCAGAGTGGACTCAACAACAGGCTCAGCCAACCCCCAGAGGCTGTGGAGCTAGCATAGTCCTTCAGAATTATTGGGCCTACGTGGCTGAACATTCATAAACCCGCCTGAATCAGTCACTGGAAAGCAGCATGACCTTGGGCAAGGGTACTCAGTAGCTGAAGCAGTCCCTGAGAGGGTCGGCTGTTGACAGCACTCAAAGCTGGGCAGCATGTCCTCCCTTGAAGGCAGATCTGATTGGCACATCTCTTTGCCCCCCACTCACATGGTATGTGACACCCTCACTGCTGTGCTATCCTCTCCATATGAGGAAAGAAGCCCCAGGAAGAGTGGGATGTTCATATGATACTTTTTTTTTCTTGGTGGGGGCAGTGCTCAGTCTTGAGGCAGGAGAGCACACTGGCTCAGAGTTGAGACCCTTTGTTCAGATTGCCTGGGTTAGAACTAGGATCCATAGCTCACTGTCTATATAACTTAAGACAAGATGCCCAGGCTCTCTGTGCCTCAGTTTCTTCATTTTAAAATGAAAATAATGATAGTAACAAGCACATTGAGTCATTATGAGAGAATTAAATATAGCAAGGCTTTAAGGAGCTTAGCTATACACCCCGTAAGTGCTCAGAAATTTGTGTGACGGGTGCCTCTAGTCACCCCTTATTTAGCCCTCAATGATTGGCTTAATCAGAATCTTTTATCAGGTTACACTCGCAATGACTTCTTTTAGTGAAGATAAGAAGCTGAGTTCTTTTGGGATTCAGATTGGAGATGAAGGCCATGAGAAACATACAGTGAGCATCACCTAAAGGAGACTGGAACATTTAATGGTGAGAAACAGCAGTCTCACTCCAAACATGTCTTATTTTTTCAAACCTCTGGCTCTATATGTGCTTCTCTTTTTCCCCATCTCTCTGAAATGCTGGTTCTCCCATTTCATACACTGGCTGGCCCAACCCTGTTCTACATTGGCCACTGTCCTTTTTGTCTCTTGAGAACTATATCAAATAAATGTTACTTTTTCTATGAACATTCTAGAGTCAGTTAGAGCTTCCCTTCAGCCTTGATGGCTCTGTACACACATCTGCTACAAACTTTCCACATTGTGCTGTGACTCTTCAACAGGTTTTACCCCAGCCATTCTGATTCTGCCCACACCCTCACAGCTGGTAGGCTGGCACCTGAAGAATCAAAGATTCAAGATGGGACCTCCTTCATTTTTAACTCCTCAGGACCTAGCACAGTGTTTGCGGAGTGACAATGTTAGTCGAGAAGATGGCAAAACAGTTTCCACAGTCTTCAGGAGAGGAGAGAGGACCAAATACCATGATTTGGAGAGAGTTTGTGTATCTCTGCATTCAGTACTTTTGAATTTCCTACCTTCAAACTCTTTTAAAAAAGAATCTCTCTTGATTGTCACCCAGTCTTCCAATCCCTGTTTTCCCTTGGGCTGTAGAAATTACTAAATTCTACAAACAGTGTTTCATTCCACAAGGGTCTGAACAGATGGTTTTTAAATCATGTTTTCCTGTTCATACTTGTTCCCTGCTACACTTGGTGTATGAGTATGGAAATGATTTTCCAGGTGACTGAAGCTTCACCAGGAAAGTGTCCATATGCTATTTGCCATCTTCACCTAATTAAAAGACTTAGAAAGTTTTTTCCCCATTGACCTGGTACGATAACATGATGGCAAGTTAGTGTGACCTTTCTCTGCTGTGGTTCAGCTGACTGTCTACAAGACCATCTCTTCTTTATGTCATTCTATCCAACTAACCTCCTTCTCATGATTCATCAGCTTGTTAGGAAGACTACAGATTTTGTTAAACTCTCTAGGTACTTGCTTTAGAGTATAATACAAACAATTCTGATATAAACACCTCTGACACAGTCATTTTAGAGAAAGGGGAAATTAGTTATTTTAAGCTTCTAAATTCTGTTATGTAAATAGAAATTAAACCTCTTTTCTTTTTCCCATTTAAAACACAACCTTTTACTCTGAAAAAAGTGATAGCCCATCCTGATGCCCATCTGAAATCCTCAAAATTTGTACAAATCCATCCTAAGTTAAAAACCCTTAGTATTTTTCTATCTTAAGGACCAAAACAGGCATCTTTATACAAACGTTTTTGCTTTTCTGCTGGCACCCAGACCCAAGAACTAGAAGGGAGATTTCTCCAACTGTCTCGTCTTACAGGTGAGGACACTGTCCTTGAGAAGGGAAATGAGTAGCCTGAGGTCAC